TGGAAGCAGAGCGGAGCCGCAGGGAGCGAGTGAGAGCGGCCGGCAAGCGGCAATGGGGTGTGCTGTGAGCCGCTGGTGCCCCTGGCTAACCGGGAACCATCGACAGAATTAACACTTCTGATTTATAACGAAACAAGACCAAAAAGTCACCCCTAAAACTAAAAGCAAACCAATCCAAAACAAAGCCCACGCCACAGTTTTCCAGTTTTTAAATGGCCTAACACGTTTCCCAGCTTGTTTTAACACAAGAGGCATGGGTATGAATATCAGTGGGAGCTTCCTTGGGTATTTACTACAACAAATCTTCCCGAGAGTGAACGGGTAAAGCAGGATATAAAGCTGTGAAGTTCATCCATTCATAGACGCAATTCCTTTATTAATAAAAACCAGTAGCAGTAAAAACTGTCCCAGCCGAATAGTGGCTGTGGGAGGGACGAATCCCACACCCCAAGCCCAAGGATGCAGGGAGTGGGGAAGGTGGGGGGTTCCCCCAAATGCGGGGCACGAAGAGGAAACCAGTTGGTGGCAACATATGTGTATTGTATTTCTCTGAAAAAATTTGCAACTTGGCTAATTAAATTCCTGGCGCTGAACTGGTCCTTGGCTGAGATCATGGCAATTGGGAGGGTTGGGTTTTTTTTTTCCTCCTTACAGGAGTTCCCTCCTTCTTCCCATCCTCCGCCTATTAAGTCAAGTCTCCCTTGTTAAAAGACCCCATAACGTGGAAGAGGCAGAAAAGCAGCAGCAGCAGCAGGAAAGAAAAAGACGTCTGGAAAATATTACCCGTTTGCTGCTGCTGCTGCTGAGAAACCTCATTGAAACAGTTACTCGGGCAGCAGCAAGGTATCACCAAAGAGACTTTATCTGATGCTGATCTCTCAAACTTTCAGACACTGCCTTGCAACTTCTCCTGGCTCCTGGCTAGCCGGGTTTGAAATAAGATCTTCAGCTTCGACCACGAGAAACTAACTCCTAATTTATTATTTCTAACTTTTTTTTAATTATTATTATTATTATTATTATTACTATTATTTGGGGGAAAATCCCACAACTTTTGAGCTAGAAACTGAAGCAGAGAAAGACAAATACACGATAATTGTGAAAACACGTGGGAGAAAATGAGTAGGACTGAATAGCCTTACACGATTTTTTATTATTATTTTCATTTTTAATTATTTTTTTATTTCTGAGCGTCTTATTAAGTCCCTGAAAAGTGCGATTTGTTCTTTTACCTCAAACTTGGAAACTATTCAGCGGGAGCAACGGTACGTGAGACCACACAGTTGGCTGGAGCCCCTCTATGACCAAAGGACAGAAGGACAAACAAGGTAGGTGATTTATGATTATGCTTCTGTCAGCTCAAGAGCAGAAGACCCCCTCCTCCCATCCCCACTATTCCAGGGAGGAAAGCTGGAACAGATCCCCAAAATACGAGTGGGGCTGGGGGAGGATCTTACCGGCTCCTACGCTACACCTATTTCAGCAATGAATAGAACCGCCGTGAGGATGAATGAAGTTTTCAGCTTCAACCCCTCCTCCGTGTAATCCGTTTAAGACATTGCTGAGCTTCAGGATCTGGGGGGAAAAAATCCCGACCTCAAAAAGCCAAAAAAAGCCAACCGCCTCATAAACCCTCTGAAATTAGAATAAAATCGAGCACAGGCTGGGCAGCCGCTCAGAGAAGCGGGACGAGGAGGCGAGACCTGCTCAGAGCCCGATCCGGCTTCCCTCCCCTCGCCTTTGCATCCAGGGCCGGGCGGGGACGCGCCGGCAGCGGAGGGAGGGCTGGCCCTGAGGGGAGGCAGGCGAGGCGGCGGGCGTGGGGCTGACGGCCCGCCTCGGCCAGCGCTGCCGAGCCGCCCGGGCGCCGCGCAGCGCGGGGAGGGAGGGCAGGGAAAGAGAGAGGGAGGGCGGCTTCCCGCGGGAGGGCCGGGAGCTGAGGGCTGCGGGCGGGGGCTGCCCGGAGCTCCCCGCGCCGGGCCCGCCCCGGCCGAGGGAGGGCCGCCTCGGGGCCGCGGCAGCGGGGGGCGATGGCAGCGCCAGCACGGCCGGGCCCGGTCGCTCCCGCGGGCGGGGCCCGTGACGCGGCCGCGGGGGGATCCCCGGCCCCGCCCGGTGACGCCGCCGCTCCGCCCCGTTGGATCGCGGCCGCGGCGCCGGGCCGGGGTTCCCCCGCTCCGTGTGCAGCCCGCGGCCAGCGCAGGGCCCGGCGCCTCCGGCCGCTGCAGAGCCCTCAGTCCCCGGCAGCCCCGCTCGGCTCCTCTGGGAGCCGCGGTGCGTGTCTCGGACACAGAGAGAGCCTGCTGGTCACAGCCTCGCCACACAGCATCCGTAGCGATGCTGGCAGAAAGGGGCATTGGCCCTTGGGAGAGAATTTACCCCATTTCCTTGCCCCGAGAGGATCCCCTTGTAGTACAACACTCCTGATGGGCGTTGTCTTAGTCTAGAGAAGACGGAGAGGGGATCTCATTAATGCATGTAAATATCTCAAAGGCGGGTGCCAAGAGGATCGGTGCCACACTCTTTTCGGTGGTGCCCAGCGGCAGGACGAAGAGCAATGCCCTTAAACTAGAGCACAAAAGTTTCACGTCAACAGGAGGAATAACTTCTTCACGTTGAGAACGGCAGGGCATCAAACGGGCTGCCCAGGGAGGTCGTGGAGTGTCCCTCTCTGGAGACATTCCAAACCCACCTGGCCATGTTCCTGTGTCACCTGCTCTAGGTGACCATACCTGGCCAGGGGGGTTGGACTCCGCGATCTTCACAGATCCCTTCTAACTCCAAGGGTTCTGTGATTCTGCAGGGCTGCAGTGACCCCACATCTCTTAGGGCACAGCTGCTTCTCCATGTGTTGCTCTGCTTCAGAGTCTTCTGCCTTTGGGATCATTTTTCCATTGACACCCCTGCACTTTTTCGAAAGCACATATTTTGTGTAACATGGGTGCCTTGAGGGTTCTTCTGAGGACTAGATAAGGGCAATAAATCTTTCTTACCCTGCATCTAAGCATAGAAAAACTCGGATCAAGGTTTTCCCAGTAGGAAGAGCTGCTCTACTGGATTCAGTGGAGTTTTTCAGGCAAGGTCACTAGGAAAAACTCAAGTCTTTATATTTGTGACATGGAAGGGTATTTGTTCCATTTTTTTTCCTATTCAAGATTAGTGTATAGAGCAGCAAAGTATTCTAACCAGCAACCAGAAAACATTTCTAAACTAGATTTTTCTTTAACCACAGTCCAAAATATCTGAGTAGAAGTATGATTTACTTCTTGTTTCGTTTCTTGGAGCATTTGTCTGGGAATTTTTTTTGTAAGTTTTCTTTCTTAACAACTAGTGTATTATTGTGTACATGAGGGTCAAATCCAACCTGCAGCCACAGAATTCTTTCCACATTGGTTATTTAAACCTGTAAGAGATTAAATTTGAGCAGTTTAGTGGGAAACATACACTGAACAAATAGGAGATTGTTGATTTGCTGATCAAAGCCTGTGCATACAGATAGAGTTTGCCATCATCAGTAATCCTGTTTTTTACTTTTAATTTAACCTCAGAGTTAACTTTAGTTTTATGTGAGCCCTTCCCAGATCAATAGCATAACAAAATCTGGAAGTTATAAATAACCAAAAGTTCCAGATATGGTAATTGTGTTGTAATAAAGGTGTACAGATGGAGCATAACTTTTCACTTTCCTCTCTTCAGGCTGTAGAATAGAAGAGGGAGTCTGGACAACTATCTTATGCTTGTGATTAATATCTAACTAGAATCATTTGTACTCCAATGATATATGATTTGATTTACCACCAAAATAATCCTAATAATGAGTCTAAATATTGTCTGAGAAACTGTAAGCCTCAAACACCATGTACTCCCAGAGAGTGTATACAGGCCCAGATCCATGTGTGCAGGCACTCACATGTGCACTCTGGCACACTCACGTCATTGAAGCAGCTGCTCTGTGGCAGCCAGTGCTGTCATTCTCCTTAGTAAGGAAGTGGGTATTAAGGATTATAAAGATTTCATTCTTCCTTTGGTTGTGTGCAAAACAGCCCTTGGTGGCTGTACGCGCCTAAAGCTGTGTGTGCTGGCTTTTATGGTGCCCACCTCACTGCTCTCAGGCCTCCTGCTGAGTTAGACTTGCATGTTTGTTACAGACAGATCCCCACAGGTTATGCCTTCAGGGGAATACAGGCAAGGAAAATAGCAAGGGGGGATGTTGGTTTTTGTTGGAGTTTTTTGACTAAAACCAGTTATATGGAACTAGAGAACAGGTGGATCTCATATAGCACTAAAAAGAGTAACCTAAGCCTTATGGAGCCCTCCAAAAATTTCATGCATGATCATGATCCCCATTTTACAGGTGAGGAAGCTGGGACAGAGAAAGGTGAATTCCCTTATTTAAGGTTACCCAACAGGTGAATGACAACACTCGGAAGGAAATTGAAATTTTCAAGGCCCTGATCCACTCTTAGATTCCCAATGTAAGAAATGCAGTGGTTAAGCATTGACATATCAAACAACCTGCATAAGGGAGGGTAATCTCTGCAGTAAATTTGTCAAAAATATACTTGCATTTTTACCTTGAGTGTCCCAGAAATAGCATATTTTCAGAGAAAGATTTTTTATGCCTTATTATCTTGCAGTTACTACAGAACTGCAAGATAAATTATCTACTGATTTCCCTCTTCAGCAAAATACCTAAGTGCACACTTATCTTTAATGACACACTTACGTGCTTTGCTGAATTCAAAGAAGCCTCAGCACTAAGGTTGAATAGATATTTAAGAATGCAGCTTCCTCAAAGGTTTTCTGTGCTCAGCACTTCTGGTTTCCACAAAGGTTCCAGACAAATCTGATCTGCAGATCTCATATGTGAGGTTGATTTGTCTTATCAATTTGTTTTCAATGAGGAGGTGCTATCGAAGCTGCTGCTACAAGTGTCCCTCCTTCAACAAAATTGCTTGAGTTTGTATTGCATAGCAGTAACTGGACACCCAAATTGGATTCTTCTTGAATGAAACTAATTGCAAGGTGTACCTCTGGAGGACACTTATCAGGTTTTTATTCCATTGTGTCTGACTATACTTAGTTCAGAGTAAAGCACAGAAATGTATGGAGGGTGGAGTTAGGTCCTCAGCACCAGGTGCTCCTCTTTGCAGATCTGTTGCTGTGGTATTGCACTGTTTGCTGATGCGACCATAGCCCTCGATGTGTAGAGAAAGCCACAGCTCTTTGTAACCTTTAAAAGTGAAGGGGACTGTGGTGGGTTGACCCTGGCCTGCTGCATGGTGCCCTCCCAACTGCTCTATCACTGTCCTCCTCAGCAGGATGTAGATGCAGAAAATAAGAGGGCAAAACTCCAGGTATGTTGAGATAAAGGCAACTTGATAAAGCAAAGGCTGTGCATGACACAAAGAAAAACAAAAGATTTATCTTCTGATTATCAGCAGATGATGTTCAGTCACTTCCCAGGAAGTGGGGCTTCAGTACCGAAAAACAAATATAACAAATGCTTCCCCCTCCTCCTTTTAGCTTTTTTATCTGAGCAGATGTCAGATGGTATGGAATATCCCTTTGGTCAGTTTAGATCAGCTGGCCTGTTTATGTTCCCTCCTAGGACCTTGCCCACCCATAGCATATTGGTGTGGGAGAGAATGTTGGAGAGACATCCTGGATGCTGGGAGCACTGCTCAGCAGTAGCCAAAACACTGCTGCATTAGCAACACCTTCCCAGCCACCAGCACAAAGCAGAGCACTTGGAGGGCTATGGGGAAAAAAATCCATCTCAGCCAGGCCCAGTACAGGGACACAATGAGCACATTTGTGATCAAACCTTTATTACTGCCTCCTGGGTAGATATTGGCTTTTGTAACTTATGGTTAGGGTTTTTCTAAATGTCTTCAGATGTTTGGAATTACTAAGTGATAATTCTGTCAACCTTCCAAATCATTCAATCATGTTAGGTGCAAACTTTCTGTGTCTCCCTCTCTTGCTTTTTAATCTTCTGAGGAAAAGCTACCCAGAAATATTATGTGCCAATGTTTGAGTGTTGTATGAAAGGGGATTTCTGAGAGAGATGATATAGTGAGATGCATCCCACAACAGAGGGTGCAGAATTGAACAGGCTGCAGATAATATTGATATCTTCTGGCACCAGTGCACATTGGTTTTCTGGATATCTATTTGCCCCTATTCAGAATTAGTAACAAAATAAGCTTTTTCTGTCTCTTTGCCTCCTGACTTCATAAAGGGATAAATTATCTTCAGGCCCTGTTACTCTCAGAGATGCATGAAAGCTGATTAATAGCCACGTGGAGGAACTTTGCCACAGGATTTTGGAGGAAGAAAAATTGGTACTTTACCGTGGAAGTCACCAGTGTTCTTTGCTGAGTAAAGACCCAGTTCAAAACAAAACATAAGAACCTGCTGACTTTCAGTCAAGGGTCTAGATCTTAGATCTTAAACTTAGATCTTAAAAGTTAGATCTAGGTACCATAACTACAGTAAATGCTAGTCTAAATATTTTTCAGAATAGAGAAAACTGAAGCATATTATGCTGTGTTCTTCTAATTTGAGATCTAAGGCGTTATTCAGTCTGAGAAAGGAGTGTGATCTCTAGTGCTACAGTTAATACCCTAATTATTAGATGTACTGTATATCAGTCATTTGTTAACCTGATGTTTTTCATGAAAGCATTGTTAGAATACTACAATTTTAGTTATGCCAGTTGTTCATAATAATGAAAATTCCCCTTCATCACAAAGGGGAAATATTCTTTTTGTGTATATATATTTGGCTTTATCAGGATGCCAAGAGACACAATGCCAAACAGTTCACCAGGTGGACTCTGATGTCAAGTACATGCAAGGGTTCATTTCTTGGTCATGCTTTTCCATAGCAGCCTCCAAAGAAAGGCTCTCCTTGCCTGCTACTGTACAGTCACTACAAGGCACGCATATACTTGGCACTGCTTTGTGAATCAAAATGTGTCACTGAATCAGCAGCAGCCTGCACAGCATCAGGATTTAGCATATGGCTTTCACATTGCAGTTCTACAAGATGGGCTGGTGAGCACTGCTCAGCTCATCCCTGAAAGGAAAGAGCTGAAACATCATAACGACAAATTGCTCAGTGGTGGACTTTAAAGGCTCTTTACATACACTCCCCTTGTGCATGCAAACCTTGGGTCTGCTTGCTGGAGGCTGTGTAAAACTCATACTGGGTTCAGCTCCATGGGGTTAGGTGAAGGTGCCTGTAAGGGATTTAGGTGCCCAAATTGCAGGATAGAATTATTATATTTCATTGTGTCAGGCCAGGCTAGATACTCATAGCAGCACTGTCTGATCTGAAAGTCTCTGAAGCAGCTGCTGCCTAGCCTCAGTATCAGTATTTGATTCAGCAGTTCATTTTTGGTCCCAGACTTGTACAAGCATCATTTCCTTTTTAATTTCTTGGCTTAATTCTTGGAGATGGGTGGAGAGTTTTTGGCTTCTTTGCTATTGTTTGGGCATATTAAATTTGATAAAGATCATTTCTGCTGGGCAAGCTATCAATGCCTCGTGTTAAATCTTGAGACTATTGAGCAACTTTTCCAGTTCCCCTGAGATTCAGTCATTTAAAAGACTATACATAAAACCCTCAATTGAACATACAAAGGGGAAAATTTCTTTGATGAAAGCCAGGAATTTAGATCAAAACACTTTTTATTTTCCTAAGGTTGACAGAGAAAAGGAAAAAGAAGTGTTGTTTTATTAACACCAGAAAATAATTTCTTGATCTTAAAAGACTGGATTTTTGCAATGGAGAGGATCTGTGCTGTAATGATAAAGTCAGAGAATTTGTTTTTGTTTGTTTGTTTTCCTTTTGTGCAGAAGCACTTCATAGGTAGAGCAAAACAATAGCAAATTAATGTAAAAGATGTCTGCTAGAGTATATGGTCATTCAAATGTAGCCACTCCAGATCTTAATGTAAATCCTGTTTATTTCAGCCATATAATTCTTCATGTAAGCAGACTTTAGGACCCCAAATGGGAAAGCAGAGTATAAGTGCACCATTAATGAGACATTTACCTTGATGTTTGTAACATTTTGCATGCTTGAGGGATTAGTAAACACATGGACTATTTTACTTCGAGGTAATCTAGAGGGGATCCATTACTTAATCTGTTTTCTAAAGTAAGTCTATTTTGGGCACTGAGTTTCAATTCACCTATAGGGGTGGTAGGCATAAGCTGTCTTTTATTAGGCATCTTTATGACCCCTGCTGTGAAAGGTTTTCAGACAGGCCAGAACAGGGAGGGTCCCTTTTGCTGGTGGATGATTACAACACCTGTCAGAGCCCAGCCTTAAGTATTCAAGGAAGTCCTGGAGCCAGGGTCTGATTTCTTTAACAGTGCCTCCAAATATACATTTAGGAGGCTTCCTCCTGTCTTGAAATTTAAGACCCTAAATAGCCAATGGAAAAAGACAAAGTCTTTGTAACCTCAAACTTCATGCTTGCCTAGTTTATTTTTATGTTGTAAGTGATTCTGTGTTGAATTTTTTGTTCCAAGCCTGTAGCTTTTCAGACATATATATAGTTGATGACTATCAGCAGCTATGCTGCTGTGTCTTGGTAGTCATTTTTCAAGGAAGAGTTAAAAACATATGTGATGTAAGGAAGTCCTGTTCCAACTTCAACTTTGGCCAACAGATGGTGAAACAAACATGAGCAGCAGATGAGTGAGATGATAACAGCAGGGAAAATATGAATAATAGCAAGAAAACACAAATATTAAATCTATTACTCTGAGAGGACCTAATTCAGCAAAATATTCAAGCATGAGCTTTATTGACTTGCAACACACTTGCTGGATTAGCCTTAAACAGACATCACCTGTTTTATATCCTTCACATGAAATGCATCTATTGACAGATAATATTGTCATTAACTTCTTAAATTCTGAGAAAGCTGTTGCATAAAATGGGTAATGTGATTGTCAGAAAAGGTATTTAGGTACCAACAGAGTCGACCTGCCTGCCTGCCCATACTGTTTATTTGTTTCAAGAATGCCAGAGCACCCTTCATGCCAGCCAGTTGCTCCATAGCCCAGAGTTTAGGTTAGAAACAGCCAGGTAAGCTAAATCTGTAGAAGTGATCAGAATCAGCTGATGTCCTAGAGAATTTCTGAGCCCAGGGTGGAGTGTTGGCTCTGTTAAATTTATGCATATTTTTTCCACAGACTTAATCTCAGTTAAGCTTTAGCCCCTATACACTCATGCTTACATGTGCATGTATCTATGTACACAACTATATGAATAATGCATTTTTGCAATGGTATTGAGAAGGCCTTTTAAAGCAGATGTCTGATTATATAAATATAAATTATATATATAGTCAGACATCTGTTTAAAAAAATTATAAATACATTCAGGCATCTGTTTTAAGAATGTCTTTCCAATATTTTTGCAAACATAACTAAGCGACAGAAACAATTCAGGGTGGGATACGGTTGTGACATGGACGGGGGATGAGGAGGGGCTGCCCAGACATTCAGCTGTTCCACTCCCCTGTGACCATAAAAGTGAGTGGTGGCCCAAAAGCCCCTTCTCTAACCTCCTCCAGATAATATGACAAGACAGTCTTATCCAACCAGCTCAGGCTGCCAAAATAAGATTCTACACAAATAGCACCTTCTGTGAGGGCACTGTGAGTAGCAGAAATAATCTCTGCTACACTAAGTCTGTTTGGATTGCACTTTACATGGGGGAAGTCCTGTAAAGAGATGTTCAGTTGGGCAAAGGGATGCAGTGAGTCTGTGAGCTAGAAGCTCAGGGCGTATCTGTTGATGCTGAGATCTGTGTTGCAGCCACGTGCACCCCTTATGATGTCGTATATCAGCAAGTGGTGGCTCTGCTAATGGTTTCCCTACTTCTTTGCAGATGTATTGTGAGAGGTTTATATGCATCCTGAGAATACTTGGAACCACACTCTTCGGGGTGTCCCTCCTGCTGGGAATCACCGCTGCTTACATTGTGGGCTACCAGTTCATCCAAACAGACAACTACTACTTCTCCTTTGGACTCTATGGTGCTATCCTGGCATCACATCTCATCATCCAAAGCCTGTTTGCCTACCTAGAGCACAGGAAAATGAAACGGTCGCTAGAGACTCCAATCAAACTGAACAAAACAGTTGCCCTTTGTATTGCTGCCTATCAAGAAGATCCTGACTACTTAAGAAAATGTTTACTTTCTGTAAAAAGATTGACCTACCCTGGAATTAAAGTTGTTATGGTCATTGATGGGAACTCAGAAGACGACGTTTACATGATGGACATTTTCACTGAAATCATGGGTAGGGACAGTTGTGCCACTTATATCTGGAGTAATAACTTCCACGACAAAGGTCCTGGTGAGACAGAGGAGTCTCACAGAGAGAGCATGCAACACGTATCTCAGCTGGTCCTGTCCAACAAAAGTGTTTGCATCATGCAGAAATGGGGTGGAAAAAGAGAAGTAATGTACACAGCATTCAAAGCACTGGGGAGAAGTGTGGATTATGTACAGGTAGGTATTAGAGCACCAGGTCAGTGCCAATTCAAACACACTTTGAAAGAAAGCAGCTTTTGTATATTTTGTGCAGCATGTTAGAGGCCATCCTAGTCCCTGATGAACACAGTGCTCCTTTCAGTCTGTTTGGAAACAGCTTGACCGTTAAAAGGGTATTTTGCTACCTTTTAAAATGGCCAGTCTATCTGTGACTGTTTTAAATTTGTGCACCAGCTACTGGAGAAGTCTGAAATCCTTCCCCTGCCTTCAGTACTGCCCCCTCATCCAAATGGTTTTGCTTCAGACAAAGCCAATGACCTCCTGAAAGCCCCATCTCTGCTCCTGTGGGTGAAGGTCTCGGGTGAGGCTTTATTTTGTGAGTTTGTCAGTGGCCCCATTTACAAGCAGACAGACAGGTATTTGGTCTCTCTAGGGAATATCTTGGAGAAGTGGGGAAGTCTGTAAAAAAGATGGGGATATATTTTAAAGGCTTTGAAGGCCATGTGGAGCATTCAATAAAAGGGTCAATGTGTAGATTTGAAAGAAAATTTCTTCAGCTAAAGCCTGAAGGAGCTTTTGCTTCATCACTTACAGCTGCATTACCTCACTCACTGCAACTTGGCCTTTAAGGCCATTATGACATACTACTCACTTAAAAATGAATTAGGCTGGGTCCTGTCTCCCTGTTTCCAAAGCAGCAGAGGCACATTTCTTTCCAGCTGCCTTGGATCCCCTGAAAGATTGTCTATGTTTTTGCCTTACTTACATGGATTCCTTGCTCCTGCAAATGTCCCTGCTGACTGTGGGAAGGAGAAAGGGTCACATGTGGAGGAAGGCAGGTGGAATCAGATACTCTGGCTGGACACTGAGGACCTTTCCTTAGAATTCTAGGCCAAGAAGGCTCATTTGACTAATCCCACTGAATAGGAGATGATTTTCCTAAAGAACCACCCTCAGTTCTTCCAAACTTCTCCCACAGTCAGAGCATCCAGCAGTCTCCTGCAGTGGAGCAGCAGCTCCCCGCGAGGTGCTCTGTGCTGGCTCAGGGCAGCTGCATGGCTGAGCCATGTGTGTTTCTGGGGCCTGTGCCCAGCCTTGTGTGGGTGTGTGCATGCTCTGCACAGCACAGCATCCACGTGCAGTGTCCCAGGGACCTGGAGGGGCTGCCAGGAGCTGGGCTGAGAGCAGCGAGTCTTCAGTGCACAGGAGGGGCAGAAAGTGAAGAGTGCCAGGAGCTGCTCTGTTATTGGAACTAGGAAAGTAAAGCCAAGATTTAGAACCCATCCTCCACCTCTTTCCAAACTGAAACTGATTTATTCTTTTAAAACAATGGGCTTAAGCTCTCCATTGTCTGCACTTTGGTCTTGTGCTGTGAGGAACTATGATGGGATAAAAATGCTGATTTTTCTTTATTAGCATGGGTTTATAAACACACAGACATACTGGATTGCAGAGAAAGAAGGCAGAGAGAAAGCACATTCATTGCAAGTTTCCTCCCTCAGTTTAGCTCTTATATTTTTCAGGGAACCTGGAAAAAATGTTTCTATTTCATATGCTAGTCATAGCATAAATTCAGAAAATAGAAGAGATATTTTTGTTCAGTTAACACTCCAGACCTGGCTTAGAAGGTCTAATGAATTTGTCAGAGACTGTAGTGCTGCTGTGAGCACAGTATGCAGTAGTGACTGATGCCACAGTCACATCTACAGTCACATCTGTAGTAGAAATGCAGCCCCTTGGTGGCCCTGGCTACTGCAGAGTCATAAAAAAATGCAGCTAAAATGTGGCTCTGTTTTATGAATAAATAAAGGTTGAGATATTTCAAATGGTCCTTTGGGGAGACCCAGGGTAAATTACTTTAAACAAGTCCTATATTTCAAGGGCTAAGCAGTCTGCATCAATGATTAAGCACTTTTTAAAGTGGCCAGTCAGCACCACTGCCCACCCTCAAAATTATAAGCCTTACAGTTCTTAGAAGACACCCTAGAATTATGAACAGTCAATCATAAACAGTCAGACCAGTGCAGATAACGGGCTGTTACTCAGTAGTGGTGTCTCATTAAGTACTGCAAACTGCTCTGAAGGCTTGTTTAGAGAAGAGTTTATGAGTGTGTAGGTAATCAGGTGGAGGAGTTAATCTGGCAGGTATTATCAATGCAGAGTTGTGAGGTAACCAGGGTGCGATTCATCTTGGCTTGATGGAGGTGCCTGTGTGGACAGTGTAGTGCAGTCTGAACTCAGAGCAGCTGGGATAAACTGTCACTGCCTACAGCAAGTTAAAAACCAGCTCCTTTAAGGTCAGTTGTCCCTTTCATGTAACTCTGTGACCCAAAGCAGTGATGTTTGGGTCACTCAGTCCTTATGTGGAAATTGTCTCTCAGGGCTGTCCTGGGCACACCCTGGCTAGGCAGGTGTCAGTGTTTATTTGGGCTTCTAAGTGTCTGTATTTCTCTGATGTGTCCTCTGTTCACCTGCAAAAACCTCATCCAGATGGAAAATGATGGCTTATTAGATTTTTCCCAGAAACCCAGACATACCCACTGTGCTAGCATGCGATGGTGTTTTGTTTAAAAAATCCAGTGTTTTCAGGATTCCTCATCTCTAATATATTAGTGATGTGGCTCATGGTCAGGCCTTTCTGCCACAGGTAAATACATCTAATGGGGTGGGAGCTGCTCAAGGGGCAGGTGCTGGAGGGAAAGCAGAGGGGCTGGGAGGCAGCTGATCCCAGCCCACCACTCGTGGTCACTAGAAATGACATGCCTGTCACTGCCTGAGCACCCTGGGGATTCAGCAAACTACAGATTCCCTGTGCAAAGCACTCAGCAACAGGTTTGTCCAGGAAGACCCAAGTAAAAGTATAGGCATTGTTTTCCCTCATTGTTTTGCTCCCTTTCTATCACCCAGTGCTGCCACTGATGACAGCTTTCCACTAAAGCTGGAGTCAGGCCTTGGCCAGGATACAAAGATGCTGTGGATGGATGCATCAAGTTAGTGGGAGCTGGAGATGCTTGTGGCTCTTATCCTGACAGAGATATGAGAGCTTTCATCACCTTTCTCCTCTTGGCCCCCTCTGAGTAGGCATGGAGGGGAGCATGTTGGCAGAGTCCCAGCTCATCCCAAACTATGCAGTCCAACTATCCTGGGTAACCTCTCCTCTTGAGTCTGGTCTACAGCAAAGCCCCAGTGCTCTCCCCCTTCATAGAGCAGATGTAAAGGTTACCTCTCCCCTGGAGTGACAGGGCTTAGGTTGAATTGAAAGTTTGCATGAAAAGACACCAAAATTAGGATAGCCATTACAAAGCCTCAGCAGAATCTGTTTTGATATGCTGTTTAGGCAGAGCCACTGACTTGCTCCTACTGACCCTGTCTGAAGTCACAGGAATGCAAAGTGGGGACAAACTGGAGGCAGTATGAGAATTTTTAGGGTGGGATTCAGTCAGTCAGAGGGGTGTTTCTGGGACAGTCTCTGCTCCAGTTCCTGGGTGTCTGTGAAATGAGTTCACACACGATGTGGCCAGTTCTTTCAGCTGCAGCAATACAACAAGGAGACACCCTCTTGTTTTAAACAGGCTGCAGCCCGAGTCATTCTCCTCAGAGCAAACGAAAGCAATGCCAGCTGTCTCACAGACCAGCCAGCCTGTCTGAGCCCTCCTCCTACTCTCCAGGGGAAAGCCAATTTCCTAATGTACACAGTGTTTAGTTGACTAGGAGTGTTTGTGTAGCTGAAATGCCCTGTGTGTCATTTACTTCTGCCTTGGTCTTTTGGAGTACTGAACTTCGGGACTCACGCCTTCTGGCCTTACATATCTTTTGAAAAGAATGCCAGAGAAAAATAGCAAATAATTTCTCTACATCAAATGTCAAATCCCTGCACTAGTAGTAATACATCATGCATCTAAAATTAAAATGAGTTTTTTTCTGAAATATAAGATACATATATTACATTAATTGCTAAACCCTTCTGTGAGTGAAAGAACGATTAGGTTTCTTCCCAGACTCCTACTTGGCTTTTTTTCTTTTTAATAACAAGTGCCTGGGATTTAACTCCTCACTCTTTCCCTCATATGGCAGTGGGAAACATTTGACCAGGGTGTTCCAACTGTGCAGCTGATGCAGAGAAATTCTATGTCAGAGTAGAACAGCAATCTGCTGCACACCCACAAGCACCATCTTATTCTGCAGTGCTCCATATCTTACTCGAAGAAGCCAGTCCAGTGTGCCAGTAAAACAAATGGAGCTGATACAGAGGATTGTTTGTGTGCACAGCATTAACAGGCTCTGTGTTTTGTGCAGCACTATGCCTTGCTGCCTGGTAGAAGTGACCTTTAACAGAAATATCAGTGCAGACTTCAAAGTCAGATTTAATTGCATTCAGGAGAATATGCATTTAGAGTCATTATAATCACTTGCATGATTTTTATTTTCTTCTGTAGTGAACTCCTTAACCCATTTTTGTTCTTGTTTTTTCTTACTTGTAGGTCTGTGATTCAGATACAATGCTTGATCCAGCCTCATCAGTGGAGATGGTAAAAGTTTTAGAAGAAGATCCAATGGTTGGAGGAGTTGGAGGTGATGTGCAGGTGAGTACAACAATTTTCAGATTAACAGAGGTGTTTCAGCAACCATTTGCATTGCAATAGATTCCTCTGCCTGAAATAGCATTAAATATAATTTATGTGTGTATACTATATGCATATATATAACATATGATGCCATTATAGATGCTCTTATCATACCTTAACCTTTTTGTCCATTGAATGGAAACTCTTCTTGGATGTGAGCACTGTATGGTTTTAACATCCATAGCAAGCAAAAAAATAATATTCTGCCCCAATATGTGAAAAGGGGGGCACTGGCATTGTCAGGATTGTTGTGGCATCTTTGAGTCTCTCGGTATAGCTGCTTGCTCAAGGTACCAAAGAAAAGCTATAGGGGGGCAGGAAATTGAGAACAGGTGTCCCATATCCATGTCCAGCAACCTCAAGCACTTAAATTATATTACTACTGGCAGCCAAGATTGTTAGAAACAAAAAATAACTTTGAAACGTTCTGCACTGTGCACTCTGTGTGTTGCTGGGTCTCCCATCTCTGTCAAGCAGGGCAATAGAAAACTTCCAAGTCAGACCAGCTCCATGTGTGTTAGGATTTTCAGCATTACTGAGTTTGGCTGATTGCTACAGCAAAAGGCTGGTGGTACCTTTTGACACAACTCCTTCTGCTGCAATTTGTAAAGAGAAATGTGTATGAATATTTCAGTTAGCCTTAAGATCAATCCCCTGTACTCAGTTGGACTTTTTATGTGAGACAGAGGAGAAAGAGCTGTGTAAATGAGCAAGAACTTGCTAATGAATGCCCAAGTAGTCAGAAGTATTTCAGGCATGTGGCTCATAACTGCAGAAATTAGGATTCCCACAGAAACCTGAATAGCTTTGGAGCTCTAGACTGACCACAAACCAGGCGACACAGCCCATGCATGTGAAATTCCAGGCATGTGTGAGTACAAGTGAAGGGAGGCAGGACAGGTTCAGCTGTGACAGTGAAGGTTCATAAACATCTGCATTGGGAAGGATGTGTGTCCTCTTTGAGGAAAGGTGACAGAATGAAGGCTTTGGGCTTTTTTTTTCATTTCCCAGCATACTCCCAGCAAGCCCTGCTGCTTCTAATATGTTCTGGAATTAAAACTGACAGAAATTAGGACCATCAGAGTGAAAGACAATATTTATCTAGTTGCAGGGCAATGTTTTATAGTTGTAGAAGGTCAAAGATCCACACACTTCCTTGTCACATCCTCTGGCACAAGGTGCGTGTTGAGAACTTGGATGTGAGGCCACAGACTTGCACATCTACTTGTGCTCATGCATCTGCTGAGGGTTCAGGTTGGATGTGCAGCTGGGCTGTGCAGAAGAGAAAGACTGAGGCATTTGTGTGGGCCTGAGGAAGGCTTTACTGGAGTATCACCATATGGCTTAGGACAAGGTAACAGGCTGGTACTGTGGAGACAGGACAGGTTGCTCCTCCAAGGAATGCTAGACATGGGGATACAGTTCAAGGTTAAACCTCTAAGGCCAGACTTGTGATACCAAAAATGTAGGGCAAAGACCATAGACCATGGGCTCTGCTTTTCTTATGTTCCAGCATAGTTTTGGGAGGACTGGAGGGAGTCCTGTGAGCCCCAAAGATGTGTATGGGCAGAAAAGCAGCAGGAGGCCATGAACTCCCCAGCTCTTCTTGGTAAATTCTAAATCCAGAAGGTCTAACTGGGGGCAAAAGGGAAGGAAAAATTAGACAGAAAGTAAGGAAATTTCATTGTGGAGAGTAGGACAAGTTGCAAGGAAAAAAAGAACCTCTTGGTGAAACAGACATTTGAAGGTTTCATCTCACCCTTCGTGTCAATGTCCTGGCTGAAATGTTTGTGTAGCTCCTGGGTTTGCCATGAGTTGAACACAGGAGTGAGGTTCCCATCACAATTCATCTAATGGTGCTTCAATCTCAGAAAACTCCTTAATGATCCAATGTGCATGTTTTCTGTTTTAAGAGCTCATCTAAAAGGAAAACTGTTTTTTTATTTTGCAGATTCTGAACAAATATGATTCCTGGATCTCCTTTCTGAGCAGCGTGAGATACTGGATGGCGTTTAACATTGAAAGAGCCTGTCAGTCCTACTTTGGCTGTGTACAGTGCATCAGCGGACCTCTGGGAATGTACAGAAACTCTTTACTCCATGAATTTGTGGAAGATTGGTACAATCAAGAGTTTATGGGCTCCCAGTGCAGCTTTGGAGATGACAGGCATCTAACTAACAGAGTGCTAAGTCTGGGCTATGCAACAAAATACACAGCTAGATCCAAGTGCCTTACGGAAACACCGATAGAGTATCTCAGGTGGCTGAATCAGCAGACCCGCTGGAGTAAATCCTACTTTAGAGAGTGGCTTTATAATGCCATGTGGTTCCACAAGCACCATTTGTGGATGACCTATGAAGCTGTAATCACTGGATTCTTTCCTTTCTTCCTTATTGCCACAGTCATTCAGCTGTTCTACAGGGGAAAAATCTGGAACATTCTCCTCTTCCTGTTGACAGTTCAGTTAGTTGGCCTGATAAAGTCTTCCTTTGCCAGCTTCCTTAGGGGCAACATTGTCATGGTTTTCATGTCACTCTACTCAGTGTTGTACATGTCAAGTTTACTGCCAGCAAAGATGTTTGCGATTGCCACGATAAACAAAGCAGGGTGGGGCACGTCAGGAAGGAAAACCATTGTAGTTAATTTTATAGGACTCATTCCAGTCTCCATTTGGTTTACAATCCTCCTAGGTGGTGTAATTTTCACTATTTACAAGGAATCAAAAAAGCCATTTTCTGAGTCAAAACAGACAGTTCTCATCATTGGCACAATACTCTATGCATGTTACTGGGTTTTGCTTTTGACTTTGTACATGGTTCTTATCAACAAATGTGGCAGGCGGAAGAAAGAGCAACAACATTACGACATGGTGCTAGACGTATGATGTTTCCGTGGAAGTTACCCAGAGTTGTAAAGCAACCCAACGACCTTGTAGTATCTGTGGCATCAGACATATGTTGCCAAGGGAAATGGATCACTGCTGCTGGGAATAGGACACTTATATTCCTCTGGGTTCATTTTCATCCTGCCAAAGTAAGGAAAGAAAAAAAAAGAAAAAAATAAGAAAAAAAAAAAGGGTTTTTTGTTTCCAAGGGGGGGGAAGGACGCAAACCACACAGTTACGACCTGTTCACAAGAAAAGGGGAGAACTTCTGTGTTTATGCACTTTTTTTATTGTGCATATGCCTGACAGTGTTACGTTCTATATACCTCACTGGTCATGCTTATGTGTGTGGACGGAAAGAAAGGGAGTTTGGAGAATCAAGAAAAGGACTGTACAACCCTTTGTAACTGTTGCAACCTAATTTATGAACTTCTCTTTTTTATAGTTCTGTTTATAGGAAGGGTCTTTTGTTTTAGGCTGCCAAATGTAATGCCAAAGGTAAATTTTAAGAGGCCATTGGCTGAGCTGTATTTTTATATTATTGTATTATTTGTGTGTGTGTATTTTTAAGCCAACTTTTTTTTTAAATCACATATTTTATATTTTACTATCTGCCAAAAAAAAGCTGCCTCCCCAACATTTTGTTCTTTAGCCTTTTTTAATATATTTGGGGACAAAAAAAATCATACATTCTCCTCCCAAATTTCTGCTGAAATGGTATTGTTCACAACAGAAAGAATAAAAAGTCTCTGTGCATTTTTGCAACTAATGAATGGTTGTTTCTGTGAAAAAGCATTTAAATGTGCTCTTTTAAGACATTTATTAGGAAGGGCGTGAAATTTTCAGGTTTTGCATACAAACACATTTGTGCATAAAAAAAAAAAAGGCCAAAGGGGTAGATATGTGCAATTTGGGGTTTTTGTTTTGATAACATTTTAAAAGGGAAATTTGCTTCTCTGCTGAGAACTTAATATCCCTGGCATGCAAAATAAACCATAAAGCAAGGCAGGCCTCCATGCCACTGGAAAAGACATTGCTATGGAAAGCATCCCACTGATTTTATATGGGACCTGAGCAGTCAAAAACTTCTGACTTGGAAAAATCTTGGGCACATGAAACTGCTATTGAATTCACTGATGGTCCTAGCTGTCCATGATCTACTACTACCGAGCAAAGAGTTCAGGTTTTTATTAAAAAAAAAAAAAAACAGGGAAGGAAAAATTTATCAACATTTTCAAAATGTGTGTGTTGTACTATGAAACTTCTGCAGAGTCCTTCATACAGTTTACAGAAAATAAACACATCCCCATCTCTGACGTCCAGTGTAATACAGACCCCAGTACTGAGCCCAATAATTTGTTTTTGACTACAGCCTATCTACCAGAAAAGAAGCCAATTTTTTTATCAGAAAACATCAAGCCTTAGCAAATGCATCACTTCCTTGGTGCCTAATAATCAGTCCTGGACATTTATTTTGGACAATAGTTTTGAGAAATAATATTCAGGACTAAATTCTGCAGTCCTTCACCAGCCAAAGGAATGTGGCATTGAGCCCTAATATATTTTATAAAGAGCAACAGAAAGACCAGCTGCCCTTCTTAGATTCTGGTATTAAAAGCACTGTGGTAAAGCAGAAATCGGCATATGATGCTTAAAGAACTTAGAAGCATTTTCAGCTTCTCTTTTTTATGCAGACATGAATAGATTCTGCTGTAGAATGAACTGCACACACACTACCTTGTTGTCTGATTATCTTGAGGTACATGATTGCTTGAAAGTCATACTAATGTTATGTTAATGATTGGAGAGTTGATTCATGTTGATTACAAAATAGAACAGTATTAAAAAAAAAGCAAGAGAAACGGTAAAAATCAAAAAAACTTGACTATGCCTTTTAACTATTTATGATGTAAATTAAAGCTTGGGTTAACATTCAAATGTCAAATAAATCTTCTCATTCTATAAAAAGATTGAATTAATTGCCTGTATTTATTCTAGCAATTATTCAATGTATTTCCAATATAGGTTGTATAGTATAATTGTTACTTTCATAAATAAAATATTTTTGATAAGATTATGACTAATTCATGGTATTTCTCACCAGCACTTTTACTTTGAAGCCATAAATCTGCACAGTTTGAAGGCTGTATTTCTAATGTCACCAGCCTGATTTCCAAGCGGGAGTTTGCCGAGGAGCACCTGTGGAGTGCAGTGCGTGCCTGAGGTGGCAGGGGCTGGTCCCTGCTCTGAGAGGCAGCACAGGGCATAGGCAGCACTCAGAGTCTGTGCAGCAGCTGCTGGATCAATTCAGTCAGAACACTTCCTTCCCTTTTTCCTCAGCTTCCTGATTTACAAAACAGGAATAGCAATCCAGCTTCCTTTTGGGAAGCACTTTGAAGTTTATAGCCAAAGTACTTTAGTACGTTACATAGGAGCTGATGTTTTCCTGCCCTCCTCTCCACTGGAAATTATCACCTTCCACAGCCTGGGAAGCAGAGGAGGACAGGTCCATGGCCTTCTCCTGTTCCTCATCAGTGCTGTTTGTCAAGCCCCCTTTGCCCTGGCACAGATGAAGGGCAGCAGTATGTTTTGTGTCACTGAAGGTTGTGGGCAGCAGCCACTGCTGCAGGGACACAGAGGGCAAAGTGAAATCTCACACAGGCTTGCCACAGGTTAGTGACTTAGGAGACAGCTTTCTCAGCCCTCAGTGCTTGTTACCCTGTGTCTGTACTGTGCCCAGTATTGAGCTCCCCAGGACAGGAAAATCATTGATAAACTGCAGTAAGTTCAGTCCAGGCTGGTTGGAGCTGGAGTGGTGTCTGGGACACCTGGGCTGGTTGGGAGGGACAAGGGATGGCTTTGGCAGGAGGACCCTAAGGTCACATCCAATACCTATAGGGAGGTTTCCAAGAAAATGGTTCCAGGCTTTTTACAGTGCTGCTTGGTTTGATGATGAAAGACTCCAAGCTGAAAGGGGAGAGGTTCAAGGTTCAGGGTTTGGCCTGGATATGAAGACATCTAAGAAGGTTGCCAGGACAGCACATTCTCCCTCCATCCTGAGGGAGTTTCAAGACTAAACTGGGTGAAGTCCTGAGATGCCTGGTCTGACCTTGGAGCTGCCCTTCCTTTAAGCAAGGGTTGGGGCAGAGATATGAACTCTCCTGTCATCCTTTCTGAAGCAGGTGCTGACAGCTCCACCTGCACAGAGGCTCATTCTGTCTCTGTTCCAAACGCATCCATCCTGACCCCAGGCACAAATAGCCCAGCAGAGCTGGTACTGAGTACCCAAAACATCAGAGCCCTTCCTGTGACTGGGTCACTCTCCTCAACGTGTTTGTGGCCGCTTAGGAAAAGGTTTCAGGAGAAAAATAGAGTATGAAACAGTTCATATTGAAAGTGTTCTCAAACAAATTAAGATCTTTAATAACATTTCCTGTTTTTCATTAATAGTAAATATATTTTTGAGATCTCTGTCAAAAGAAGAAAACATGTTAAAAGAAATATTCTTGGTCTGTTTTGAACATTTTTAAAAACAGATTTTTTTAGTCACCTTTGATAGACAGATGGTGCTGAAAAAAGTCCCACAAATTATGAATTCTACATAAAAGTTTCAAAAAAAATTTCAAAAAAATGCCATGAATTGGCAATATCTCAAGTTATAAATCATTTCCATAGTAGACTAATTTGGATTTGAGAGCAACTGTTTGCAGAGACTAGGTGTGATGCAAAACCTACAATAATCAGAGGTGCAGCAGGGAGGAAGGACCAGTCCTCTTCTGTCTGTTAATAAGCTTCATTTTGGCCAAGAATCAGGTTTCTTTCAAGTAGAAATGCATGAATATTTAGCAGAACTTTTCTAGGAGGCAGAAAAATTCTTGTCAGACACATGCTGCCAAACATGTCCTGATGCACAAGCTGTTGTGAATCTGTCTATTAAGAAATTAGGCCTGAATATGTTTCTTAGCAAGAGTTAGGATGGTAAAGAGGAGTCAAAGCTACTGAAAGTTGTTTATGAGATTTGGTAGTACTGAGGCTTTGTTGCAAATGCCACTTTTCTCTGGAGTTAACACAATTATTTTAAATAACGTACATTTCCCCCCCCCAAATTTTATTTAGCTTAAATTTGCTGCTTCAGCTTTGTGATGGATGGATGGATGGATGGATGGATGGATGGATGGATGGATGGATGGATGGATGATGTGCCACAAATTGTTTCTGCTTCTTCTAGGTATGGAAGAAGCATGTTATACTTTTTAGAATAAATATTATACTTTCTATAATATTTCTCTTGGCCAAATAAATCCAATTTACTCTCCTAAAATAGCACTAAGATTTCTATAACTTACCAAACTGCCTAGAGGAAAATAATCTTGTAGTTGCATTGTCACTAAATAAAGGAGAGATCCAGGCCATCTTTCTGTGCTTTGGTACAGAATACTCTACTGTTGAAGTGTAAATACAGCCTGTGGCATGTTTTTGTCATAGGCCAGAGAGTCCTGCCCCAGAAAATGCTGGACACAGGTGGCATTGATACATGGAGCAGGAACTAGCCTGGTCTGGGAGATTGTAGAGTTTAGGTGTGATCCCCATCATAAGAAGATGACCAGATTGAAAAGAGTCCTGGCTTTTGTTTTTTACTAGTCTAAATAGAAGCTATCACTACCCCACTCAGAAGCAAAAGGCAAGTCAGCTCACGCATTTACCTGACATCATGTGGGATCTTATACTCTCAAGAGATCCTTAGATGTCATTCAGTTCTGCAGTTTTCACACCTTTCTTTTTTCCACGCGTTTTCTAAGTCCTTTGGTCATGTGCAGGAAGCAAGAAGAAACAGTACCTGGGGCCTAGGACCCATTGGTTTAATATTCCATTGCTTCTTTTACAGCATCCCTGCTGCGCTGACTGTCCTCTAGTACCTCGGTTTGTTTCAGTTGGACACACTCTGTAGAAATTATGTGGTTATGACAGGATCTTCTTTTGGCTACTTCTCACAAATATCAGTGAGAACAGGAAGCATTAAGAGCTTGCTCATGATCAGTGCTGCTTTATATAACCCAAGGGAGTGAAGTCTGGAATCTGACATTATCAGACGCATGATTAGAAATTACAAAACCCACAGAAAGAGCATGTGAAAGAGTGACTGCTAGCAAATGAACAGGAAATTGTATTTTATAAGTTCCTCTGCCCAAATAATTATTTATTTCATAGTCTTTATGAGTAAAAGTAGCACTTCTTTCTATGTCTTGACCCTACAGCACTTTGGGAACATACTGCTACATGGAACACTTAGTCATGAAGAAATGAGATGAATGTGGCTAAAAACAGATCAAGTGGGCAGCTTGCTCTAAATTAGTTATGAGATTGTGGCCTGTATCTGCTCCCCAAAATTGTTCTAAAGTTTTCCATACTGATTCTTTCTAATGAATGTAGCTTATAGGCTGAACCCATCCAGAACTGATGCTGCAGATACCAGTGAATTCTGTCTGTGCTCAGTCCTCACTGCCTTCCTAAGAGCTGCTCCTGACCTGGATTCTGCCACCATCTATAATACCTGGATAATCATGACAGCACTGTGAGATGTATTAGGAGAGAGCTCAGCATTGAAAGAGAAAGTCTGAGAAGATCATAGAAGAGGGCTTCTTCTTCAGGAAAGGAAACATTTGATAACAGAGCTATAAAAGAATTGCACAGTACACAGAATGCTTCTTTCATGCTTATACTGTAGGAGAAATAGACCTTTTTCCCTAAAAATGACTGCTGCTGTTCACTGCCTATGGAGGGAGGCTCAGTGGACAGCTCAGATCATGGTTCATAGTTCAGTTCAGGTTGGAGAGCTCTCAGGAGATCATCTAGTCCAACATTTTGCTCAAAGTAGAGACAGCTCTGAAATAAAAGCAACCGAACAGAAGAGTCTATACCACAGTTAGCACAGCCCTTCCCTAAACGGTGACTTTTGTAGATGCTCAGATTTGGTCAAATGTGTAAAAACATATGCACTCTGAAAGCCTTGTCTACACAAGAAAGTGTGATGCAACCAAAATCTTTGTGATTTTACTTGTTGTAATCTAAGTGTTATTATATTTTGTTTGGTTTGATTTATGTTTGGGAAATTATGCTAACAACTGTAAAACTGAAACTTCTGTTTACTAGCCTGTACAAAGAAAATTTTACCTAAATTGTGGTAATAAATTGATTAAATCAAACTGGCAGAAAAACATGACACTTTTATGTCAGCCTATGCCAGATCAGTCTCACATGATTTAACATAAGAGAAGCCAAGTGAATTTACAGCACTTTTTTTCTATGAGCTCTGCCCTGGGCAAATCCTTGCTTTGCAGTAAGCTTGAGGTAGCTTAAGCCTGCAGTGTCAGAGTCATTAGTTATATTGCATTGGCCACAGGGCATGAGAGGAAACTGGACAGATAATGTATGATAATTAAGGCAGTGTAAACTCATGCCCTAGGCTATTCAAAGCTTTTAGATGTATATGTACCTTAAACTGCTCAGGGCTGCTTTCTAGGTGAGCCAGGGGCCTGTGCCCTGTGCACACAAAGACACCTGGGACTTGTGAAGTGAATTGTGAAGTGATTGACCAAAATTTCAGCCTGGTTATTTAAGCTGTTGGAAAACTCCATTAAGAATGTGTTTTCTGAATAAGGGCAATTCCAATTTGATTTAGTAACACCTCCTCTTCTCCATATTTTATTTTTTTTTAGGTAGGACTTTAAGACAGTTTACCTTTTGCACACTGGAAGTGCAACCAAAATGTGCTCACATGATCCCAAGTGTAGGATTTGGGGTTACCCTCTTGCAGGCACTGGAGAAGATGCTGATGATACCACCTGCTGCAAAGCAAATGAAGCTGAGGTAGTGCAGGCGTGCCTCAGGACATGCACTGTCTCTGCACAGGCCAGAGCTGAAATACCTGCCTCCCACTGCCAGCACCCACTTAGCTCAGGCTGAGCAAGCAGCAGGCTGCTGACTGCATTATGCCCCTCTGAGGCACCTCTAGCCTGACAGATGCATAGGCTGCATGTGTGTTGTACCCATGGTAGAACAGAACATGCTGGATGTGCAGCAAACCCATCTTAGCCAGGAACTACAGAAGTCAGGTGTACACGTAAGACATCTGGTCCTGGCAGCAGAGGAGGGAGAAGAGGGATTTCATCATGGAAAGAAGCATAAATAAGCTGTAAATAAGCTAACTCACTGCACAGCACATCCCTTTGTGGCCACATGAGCATTACTGAGGCTGCTCTGCCACCGTGCTCTGGCACTGGCATATAAGTGTGTTACCAAAGGGGGAAAAGAGTGTGAACCTACAGTGCCTTGTGCTGTGTGCAGCTGTCACAGTTCATGGTCCTCTTGGCCCACTGGAAGCAGTTTACTCTTTTTCTGACAGACTGTTTTATACATACTGCAATATGACAGCATGATCACAGGCAGCTGCCAGATCCATTAATTTCAATTTTTATAATTATTAGTCTTTAATTCTAGTAATTAATTATTTGATGGTCATTTGGCTTAACACAATTCCAGTTCTAAAATACATGCTGTTACCAATTGGATTCATCCCATGGAGAGTGAATCACCTGCCCACCCCCAGCAGGGTGTACTCCCCTGGCAGCCCGACAGATCTCACATGGGTGACATTACCTGTTGGGGAGCCTGTGTTGTCCTCAGCTGCCAGCTTGGTCCCTCTCTTGCTTTGTCACTGCTCTGATTGCCACTTATGTTCTTAATTAAATTAAAGGAGTGTGAGGTTCTGGCCAAATTAATCATGGCTGGGAATCAACACTCACATTTCTCTTGCAGCTTTGAAGTCTGTCTAATCTCTCCCGTTCTCACTATAATATCTGAGATGTGATGAGGGCTTTGTAAGTACACAGACAGATTGCAAAGTTAATGGGCACATATGGGTGTTTTTTCTCAGCCATTATTCTCTCTGTAATTGTGGTGGAAAGAATCTGTCAGCAGAAATGCACTCCTCAGTAATACATTGCTGTAGCATGTTGGTAAATGTTGGGGAGAGTGCTGGTCTTTGCAAGAGTGTTCTGCCCACGTGATAGATCACTCCATACCCTTTGTTTTTTAAAACAACTAACCAGTGAAACAGTAATTTGGAAATATATCTGGCATTGACTTCAGCTTGCCAAGAACTATGGAAAGTCTTCTGAGCAACCCAGTGTTAAAACAAAACAAAAAGCTTATTATCCTTGTGGGTTTTTTCCTGTGAATTTTGGGTCATACCCTATGCACTAACAAGGAAAGCCCTGGGAAACTCAGCATCATTGCATGGGACACCTGTATCCCTTTGTTTTCCAGCCACTTCCTCAAATCTAATTTGTTACTTCTCTATTTCAATCAGCACAGCCAGACAGGTATAAAGCTAAAGTCTTAACCACCCATAGCAATTACACGTTTCATAAGATTAGGCAGGAAACACTTCATAAATTCCAGTAGTTAACACTTGTTTTAATTGAATTGCTCCTGAAGCTTGAATGGAACTGGTATATCTCTGCTCTGAAGGTTCCTTTTCCCAAAACACAGCTGCATAACAACAAACAGATGCTTTCCAAGGGAGATAAGGCCACATTTCCAGTATTGGTTAAGTGACGCCTTTTTTTTGTACATTTATCATGTACTTCTGCATGTATCTAAAATAGTTGGAAAAAACCTTTGGTTTGATTCACCTACATTGAATTCCTTGGCATTAACAGAAGTTTATAAAGATAATGCAATTAGCTCGAGTTTAATGCATATGAAATAATTTGCTCTTGATTTGTCATCTTGACCACAGGTAGAACAAGTCATCGATGCAGGGACACATGTTTTTCTAAGAAAGCAGAAAAGAAGCAAATGGATCATTCCTTAGATTCATTTAGGCTACAAAGCATGCTATGCTGGAGGACTGTATCCTAGCTTTTACCTGTTTGTATGAGACAAACTAATAAAATAACTTGCCCAGGAATACTGTGCTTTAAAAGACTTGCATCTAGACTGATGATAAATAGTTCATTTTGATTTAGAAATAGGTGAGGCATTGCAAGATGCTCCCACCTTTATACTTGTTGCCATAGAGATTTTATGCTTTGCTTTCTCACCCGATTCAACATCAGGTCAGCCAGGTTGATGCAAACCATGCTCATCAATGCTTATTCAGGTAAAATACTTGAATAGCATTATCCAGGCAAATATCAATCTCAGTCCCTTTTATGATCCCAGCTGTGGAGGCAAAAGCAGCAGCCGACAGCCAGGGTTATTTACTTCTTTGAGAGTTACAGCTCCATCAGAAAGCACTGTCTGTCTTTGCCCTGATACAAGCAGACTGCAATCCAGCTGGCATCATCCTGTGCTGCTGCTGCCAAACTTCTGAGAGGGAGGGGCTGCATATTTTAAAAACCTTGTCTGCACATGTCAGTTTATTTAGTATATGTTAAGTCATTTATTTTAATCAAATAGATCAATGAAACTCTTGAGAGTTTATTCAGGCACACCTGTTTTGTTTTTCTTTTAAGCCTCTGTTATTTGGAATCAAAGCCAAAAAAGCCATTCTTACACCACAGTAAGTCTGTTCAAGAGTAGAATAGAAGAGGCCTCCTCCACAGATTGTCCTATTATTATATTCATGAAGTAAAATTCAGACAGTAAAATTCAGACAAGCCACAACTCATTGCAAACAGGAACATACAAATGCTAAAAGGCTAGAAGGAGCAGTCTTATGTTACTTACATAGGAGCAGAATACTCTGGAAAAGTATGTTCCAAACCCACAACTCTGATAGTCCTCAAAAACTGGTTGTTTTCAGAGGAGACGGATTAAAATAAGAGACCAGCAGCAGAGGTGAGCTTGTGACTTCTGCAGTTTTTTTTGTAACTTTCACCCATGAGTTAATTGAAAACTGAAGAGAACTGAAGAGAGTTTTTTTCCCAACGCTAATGGCTATAAGGTCACTGTTGAATTTCTTCGTGTTAAATTCAACACTAATTTTGCTTTAGTATTTAGCAGACAGGTAAGAAATTCTCCATTTGAGGAACTCTGAAGCCCAGTGAAATGCATTCTCATTTAAAGTACCTCTGTTAAAAATGTGAGTCCTCAGCAACTGTTTTCCACTTAAAGTTCTGAGTATGTTTGTTAACTCTATATGTATTCTGCACATATAAATGCTCAGTTAAACCAGATTTCCTCCAATGGAACTCTAAGATTTCAAGAACCTTTTATAAACCTGTGTGAAATGTTTCAAGGATGCATCAACTGGCATCATTCAATGCTGACTAATGGCCATTTTAGGTTAGGTTGTGGCATCATTACCACTTCCTAGAGTTTGAATAAAATTTCAATCACCATTTGACTGATCCCCAAATGCCACAAATATAATATGGATTCTAGGCAGATCTTGATGGTACCCCTGCTGAAACATCCTCTTTGAAATGCTATCTCTTTTTTCAACCAGGTGTCATATATTGGTTATCTATATATTTTCACCAACCATGTAACTTATAGTGGTTTCTTTGGATCATAGGTCCTTGCTCAAGACATGTCCTGTGAAATGTCTTGAAAGCTTCATCTAAATGAGAAATTGATGCGTACAGCTTCCCTCTCTTATGCTCTCTCTGCTGTTGCAGTTGACTGTATTTGTTCCCAAAAAAGGACATGTTAGCTAACTTTATTACTTACTGTTTTCTATCCTCCTTGCTTTTCTCCTGCCTTCCTTTTCCTGATGCCAGCCTCCAATCCACCATCATGTCCAAGAGAGTTCCTGCTGGTCCATAAAAGGTTTTGTGTTAACTCAGTGAATGCTCAAGGCCATGCTCACTTGCATAAATAGCTTTTTCAGCACAGTCTTTCCTTTCAGGCCAGACTGTAGATATTGAGTAGGAGTCAACAGAAGGCACATGAAGCTGGATTACCTCCAGTCCTATCAACTATGCCTTCTGCTCCTTGCTCTGAGGTAGTTTCCAAACTATGGTCCAGAGCCACCACCAATATTCAGGCAAACACAAGCACCACAACCTTGTCAAAAAATATGGAGGTGAATAATGAGTTTAAGGCTTTCTCCATCTGTTCTCTCAAACCCCAACAAAACTTAATCTTCTCTTCCACATTTAAGGTGGCAATCAAATCTTTAATTTCACTTCTTCTCCCTGGCAAGTCTATCTTACTTCACTTGCTTGAGCTACCAGAACTGAAAGTAGGTGGTTGCTACAACATGTTTTGGCGTGGTTCAGAGCACTTTACATCCTCTATCTAAATGTACTGTGCAATGATGAAAATTTGAGTCTGTGCTGTTCTTAAACCTTTAATCAGTTCTATCTGTAAGCTAAAGGAGGATTCCCTTTCTTTTTCTTTCCTAGACCAACACAGGACTTAATGAATTCAAGATGTGTATATTCTAAGTCACTAGGGACACTAGGATAATGGGAATTACCTAATTGACACATACCACCACCCACACAATTCATAAAATCCAGTCTCAAATTTACTGGTATTCAATTCAGAAGAAGGCTTTTCCCAGTGTAGCTGCATGTAAAACTGCTACACGTTTCTGGTCCAGTATTGCATAGCTACGGGTCCAGTCTTGCGAGGTACTAAGCCCATACATATAGTGGAGGAGGCAGTGATTTCTGCCTGCATCTACAGGTCTAAATTCAATGTGCATTCTGCCTGAGGAAAGACTATTATATTTTATTTTACTTGTCTTAATAAAAATTCTTTGAAGTGCTAATTATCCTTCTGCTGCCACTTGTTGGTATATGCAGCATGTACTGCTCTGTGATATTTCTATCTTATCTGTTTACTATTTTCTAGTAAGTGCCTTACTATGAGCAATTCATTCCTTCATTTGCTCTTTTACCTCCTTGTAACAACATTTGAGTTCAGGGTGGAAACTTCCACTTCTCTGCTGGAAGAGATCAGACAGTTGACAGAATTTTTGCCAAAGTATACGGAATTTCTACACAGGCCTTTTCTACCTACTTGGCTATTTGTAGCCCATTTGGTCCTCTCATACTTTTGTCAAGGTACGATTGCTGCCTTCAGAAATGTTGCTTTTTTTTAGATTTTGGGGTTGAGCCCAGGTTTCAAATCCCCTCTCAAATTCTGTTAGCTGAGCTACATGCCAGAGTGCAGCATATTTTAGCAACTGTCTTTTATGCACTTCATTAAGTGTAAATGTAACAAGCATCTCAGTGTTCTCCATAATGAAAGGATTCTTTGAGTGTTAAATACTCCTTTGGTTGTTTTTAATCAAGCTTAATATGTGTGAAATTTGTGGGAAGGACAGTCCCATAGACTAACAGCAACAACAGGTACAGCCAGAAATCCCAACATGCATAACATATGCATAACATAGCACCACCTTCCTTACCCCTTGGCCTACTCAGAAAACCTTGTTGATCAATTTTGTTCTCATGGACATTCAATTGCCATACTCCCTGATGTCTTTCAGCAATGATATCCACAGGTGGCTTTTTGACATCAGAACTTAAGGACAATGTGCAAATACCACTTGGTTCCTTATGAAATTTAATCCACTGTGGAACTTTATGCAATTTAATCCACTGTGCCTTCACAGCTGGAAAAATGGGCAAGACCTTTTCACAGTCGGACAGCACCATGTTAGCCATCTGCAAGTATTGTGGGGGGCTAACTTGTCACTTAGATAATCAGATTTTAGTAAAAATCTCCCAGCTAGGGTTATCTTGAAGCAAAGACCCAGAGCAAGTGGGACAGGTTTATAGGTTTGTTTCAACTTCATTTAAAACAATAGGCTTGAGGTGTTATTTGCCTGTTCATTTCAAAGGGTTGTTAACTAGATGGCCAGTGCTGATAAATGTCATCACATTATGTCCTTTTTACAGTATGTTCCAGATCAAAAACCTGGACTGAGCACATGTACCCTTCTTGTGTTGCCTGCTTACAGAGCAATTATGTCCTGGGCACATTTTAGCCACTGCAGAGCGAGGCAAACCCATCTTAAGTTTCCTGTCCCAGAGGAATTTTTTTCAGGTTGACTTGGGAGCACTCAAAAAGCATGGTAAAGGTGAAGAAAAGGAGAGATGAGGAATCCTAGGGAACTCCAGCAGAGAGGAATGCTGGCAGGAACATCCAGCAGTGGATGTCACAGTTTCCTACGATGTGACCCAGGTTGAGTGTTCACCTCCCCAAGGGCTGCACTCAGCTGTGCAGTAGCAAAAGTGTTAAGCAAGTTTATTTACAGCCTATTCAATGCTGTTGTTGGTCTTATAAAACTTCTTACAGACATTATGGGCTGACAAATATATTTCAAAGGCTGTACAACAACATAGCTTAAAATGAATCATGACTGCCATGTAAATCAAATGCAAAATTCATTTTAATGCTCTGAACTGCATTTCCCCCCCTTCTTTTTCTTAATTCTTTCTCATTTCTTCTTCACTTTTTATTCTTTTCACATCTTGCCAGAACAGTCTCCTAGACACAGGTACATCTCTGGTTGTTTACTCACTCAGTAGCAGTGAAACATTTTCATATATCTCCTTCCCTGATGACGTATCTATATATCTATATATTTCCATATCTTTACATCTATATATGTATTTAGATATAGATATATGTAGATAGATAGATAGATAGATAGATAGATAGATAGATAGATAGATAGATAAATATATTTTGTATAGAGTTTGTATATACATTTGAATTGAGGAGGAAGAAAAGGTATCGCTTTTCCAGACATAATTCAATAATGAACTAAACATCAGCAGCTTTCAAAACTTGAAATTAACTAAAATCCACAAATTTCATTTTTTCTGGTCATGTCCTATCTCATCCATCCCAGTGGTTTCCAGTCTTTCCCATCTCTGCTCTCCCTCCCCTGACAGCTCCAAGTCTGTCCATTGCCCCTCTCACCACACAGATGCTTTAGTAAAACTCGTGTTTTTTCCACACACCTGGCAAACTTTTGCTTAGGTTTTAAAAACAGGAGGGAAAAAAAGCTCAGGAGGTTGTTTACACTACCAAATTCTCTGAATTCAAGGAGTGGGAAAGAGATATGGTCTTTGAACAAAACACTCATCCTGAGGGACAAGGCCTGGACCCCTGAAATAGCTTTTTTTGCACTGAGAAGATGGAGCTACTCTTCCTTGTCTACTGCACTGTGAAAGAGAAGTTGAAGTGAATTTGCCCTGTGTCAGGGTAAAAGCAAAGTGAAGCAGCAATGCCCCACATATTCTGATTTCCAACCCATTTGAGCAAAATCTACATCGAGCCTCACTAAGTCAGAGCCCTTCTCTTTTGTTCCTCAGCTCCAGCTTGAACGATCCCAGATTTTCCCCAGATCCTCACACACATCCCTGAAAATCCCTGGCCTTCCCAGAGAAGGGAAAGCTGTAACTTGAAGAGCGGCGGTGGCTGCTCCGCGCTCGGAGGCCGCGGCACAGCCCGACTTTGATGTGGCTGAGCTCGGGAGCCTGAGCGGCCTGCAGCTCCTGGCCTGGTGTTCCCGCGGCCATGGGTGATCCCGGCTCCTGAGCTGGCCTTCCCGGGGCCATGGATGATCCCGGCTACTGGGCTGGCATTCCCGAGGCCATGGATGATACCGACACCTGACTCTGACAGCGACACCTCCCCGAGGGCTCTGTCCTGCTTGGGAACCGGCCCGGCAGGCAGCCTTCAGTGACAGCCCGGCTGGAAGTGGGGCACTTGTGCTGAATGAATGTTTCCATTTTGTGAGGGACAGCCTTGGGCCTGAGGGCCTGAGAGGGAGCCTGAAAGACTGAAAGCGTTTCGATGTGGGGATTCAGCTGGTCCCAGGACAAAACAGAAGCCAATTGTGAAATCTGGAGACATTTCCAGATTTCCCCAGTTTGTAAATGGGCATTAAGATCCATTCAGTGTATAACTTCCACAGGAAGCCGCCATGGGTCATTGGTTTGTGACTCCCTTTACTTCTTCTTTTGTGACATCCTTCCCCTGCACTTATCTACCTTCCAATTTAAAGAAATAAGAATTTATGAAATTATTTTTCTTTGTTACCAGGCTCTGTCCACAAAAAAATTGCAGAAATGAAAAGTGTAAACAAACAGCGGCCATAATTATTTATAAAAAACTTTTTAAATAACTATATTTTTGTCCTGAGGGGGAAAAAAAATCAAACTGCATAATTAGAATTGGAATTTATTTTTTTTTAAATTGACATGCTAAATCCACTCACATTCTGTCCCAGCTGCAAACTTACACATGAGCAACACTGTAACACATTCAAAAGATCATTCATAATATGTGATTTAGGGCTGGGCCATTCTATAAATTGGGATTTTAGGTAAAGAGCCTTTTATTTTTCTGTTCTGATGTATTATACTAGGAAACATACAACTGATGAAACACACTTGGATTATTAATCATAGCCTTTAATCATAAGTAAATCTGTCTGGTGCAGGTGACTTGACAGATGAACCAACCCACCCCAGCCTTGAATAGTTCCTCTAGAAAGCAAAGGAGAATAAAAAGACATCACTGGCGTCCTGTATTAGTTTGGTTAAAAGCACAAGGTGTTCTTTAAAATTTGAGCACCAATACATGAAACCAAAATATCCCCTTATTTGCCAGCATGGCCTGGGACATGCTCCTGCTAGCCTGGACTCAGTAGCAAGTCTTATCTTGAGCAGGTGAAGTACAGCAAAAGACCTGAGAGTAGAAATATTTTGGAGAGCCTTTGGGAGCAGCCTATCTATCAGGGACTAATTCTGGGACTAATTCTCCAACCTCAGACATTTTTTC